TCTTAGCTCTGATTTCCCAGCCTCCACCCTAGTCCCGGCATATTTCCTCCAAACAGCATGGCATTCACTCTCTCCTACCCACCTGAATGTCATCTCGCCGTGAATCCCCTCTGGATTTCCCTCATTTCTCGAGAGCTCAGCTATCACTCTCTTCCTGCTCCTCATGTCACAACACAGACAACAAACATTCATTATGTGCCAGACACTGTTCTGAGTGCCTTACACATAGTCTTTTAACCCTCCTAAGAGCTCTATGTCGTAGAGGCCACTACAACCTTCACTTGGTAAGCACAGAGCCAAAGCATGGAGGGTCATGCAGCTAATGGAGCACTGCAGCTGGCTGACCATGATCACAGACATGGAGAAATAAGACCCTTTACGTTACTTTTGCCTCTCCATGCATGTATAAAGGTTGATTGTTTTACTTATCAATTATTTTTCTGATTCTTTTATAACTGGAGGATTATCTGGTAATCCAGTACACCACATCCATACTCTGTCTCTTTAAAATAGTTTTTTGCCCAAATATAAGAGAAATGTATTTATTACAAAAAGCTTGAAAAGTCATCGGCAAAGAAAAGAGAACTAAAATCACCTGATAACAATCTTGTATATTTTCTTATAAACTTTCAACTTAACTTTCTAAGTCTCCAGCAAAACTCCACAGACAGCATTAGTATGTCAACTCAAACTGACGCCAACAACCACGGGAATCACTGAGTACAGTATCACTGCGTCAGCCACTGCCACGTTCATGAGGTCTCCTCTGTGTTTGCAGGGATTCTCCTTTACAGGTGCTTTAGAAACAACATTAACCTTATCACTTCACCAAGGGGGTTATGTGCACAGTAAGTACAAAAGCAGTGAAGATACTGTAAGTCAATAGTAGGAAAAGTTGGAAAATTTATACCGGAAACAAATGTAGTTAAAAAAAAAATTTTAGGTGGGAAACAAACACATACATGACACCCGAAACATTGTAAATCAACTATACCTCAATTTTAAAAAACGCACATATGTGTGCAAGAGAAGTTAAAGACCAAACAATGAACCATAAAGGGCAAGACAGGGGGATGGATAAAATGCATGTTCAGAATATGGATGCCAATGTACAATGTCTATTAGCCTAATGTCAGTTCAGGAAAAGTCCTGAGTTTGTGTCATCACAAACTGCTGCCAATGAAAACTAGTCAGAAAAAGCATACATTAGTGAAAAATTTTTGAATAAGAATGCCTTCAAACTGGGAAGGAAATACACATACGCACGCACATGCGCACGTGCATACACACACACACACACACACACACACACACACACACACACCCCTACATACACACCCAGGTGCTAGCTAAGCAACTATCCCAATCGTTACTCTGGGGGCCCTCAGGTCTCCAAAGCACTGGCCACATCTGCAACACGTCAGCTTCATATTAACTTTGAGTAGGTTATAGGATTTGGCACAGTAGAAAGAGGATTACAACACATTCAGGATACAAAACTGAGTTAGGTGACATATTATATCTACAGCTAATTAAAACCGTATGTTCTTCTATACACGTATATAGAGAGAATACTTCCTGGACAAGAGTTTTGGTTTTCCTTTTAACATGACAGCATACGTTACATCAAAGTATTTCATGGGCTTCCCTGGTGGCGCAGTGGTTGAGAGTCTGCCTTCCGATGCAGAGGACACGGGTTCATGTCCCGGTCTGGGAAGATCCCACATGCCGCGGAGCGGCTGGGCCCGTGAGCCATGGCTGCGGAGCCTGCGCGTCCGGAGCCTGTGCTCCGCAACGGAAGGGGCCACAACAGTGAGAGGCCCGCGTACCGCAAAAAAAAAAAAAAAAAAAAAAAAAAAGAATTACTATGGCGGATTTCTGAGCTTCCCGCCCGGCCAGGGTCCATCCTCTCACACTCAAGGCCTTCTGAGGCCAGGCAAGATGTTATTCTCAGAGCCTCCCTGGCTCACCCATGCTGCATACACACCCCTTTCCCTATAGACACTCAACCACAAAGCTCTGAAATCGGAGAACGGGAACATGCTGTTATAGTGACACATCACAAGAGGAGAATGGATACATACCCAGAATGTTTCAAAACTAAAACGACCCACCCAAGCACTTCTCTTTCAAGTCTGTTTCAATTCAACATTGTATAATTAGCTTCAAAAACAGAAAAATATACAGAATATTAATCCATGCTTCAGGATCACCTTGTGCAGCTGCCTGACTTAAGGGAAAAGGGAACTGAAAAACACTTCAGTTAAAAGAAAACCAGAGACAGATTAGTAATTTCTTTTAAACTACAAATAATGAATATGCAGGGACTTCCCTGTTGGTGCAGTGGTTAAGAATCCACCTGCCGATTCAGGGGACAGAGGTTCGAGCCCTGGTCTGGGAAGATCCTACATGCTGTGGAGCAACTGAGCCCGTGTGCCACAACTACTGAGCCCACATGCCACAGCTATTGAAGCCTGTGTTCCTAGAGCCCGTGCTCCACAACAAGAGAAGCCACTGCAATGAGAAGCCCCTGCTCGCCGCAACTAGAGAAAACCCGCGTGCAGCAATGAAGACCAAACACAGCCCAAAATAAATAAATAAATAAATAAATTTATAATAATAATAATATGTAGTATACATTTGAGACAGTTTTTCATCCTCCTAAAAAGAATGAATTAGATATTAGTTTTTATGTAAAAATGCTATATACTCTGAAACATCAAATCATTTCTTAGGTATCTCCCCACTCTGCTCCACCACTGTAGACCCTCGTGTTTTTCTGCTAAGTATGGAAAATCTTCTTCCAGGAAAGAACAGGCTAAGAGTCAGGAAATCCTTGCTGATCCTGTAATTACTGGATCTGCCACCAATTAGAATGATCTCTACAGTTTCAGGCCATTTGAGTATCAAAGAGCCACTACACTGTCCTTTGAGAAGAGCAGCTTAGAGGTAACTCTTATCTCCCAGCTGCACATAAGCTCCCAGAGGTGCTGGATCAATACCTTTCCCCTCCGCTGCTTTTCTGTTAGGGAGTCAAATGCCAGCTTGAATAGAGAAATGCTCATTCACCAATAAGGGACACTGCTGTTTAGAGATGCAATTTCTCAGATGCCCCAATCTAGTCATGCTCCTGTCTGGCATACACACTTACTTCTATAAGAGGAGTGCAAAAGGAGCCCAGTAGTTATGGTAGGAAATTCCCAGAAGACGCTAGATTTGGAGTTGTGTGCTCCCAATGAGCACTAATCCCACTCTTCGTCACTTTCTAATAATGACATCTAATAATGACATAATTATAATCGTAATAATGATGATTTTCATTCACTTTTAGATGTACAAGACACAGAGGGAGAAGGCTGAGGTAAAAACATTCAATGCCCAATAAATAAGTAATTTTCTCCAGGACATGGAAGTCTGTAAAAATCTTTAGCCATCACTGTAATTCTCTGATTTTTCCTCTCAATTCTCAAAAATCCCCAGAGGACCGCAGCAGTCCTTAATATATTAAAATAGAGGGTGAGACTGCTGCAAAAGCTACAATCACCAGTGTTTCAGCAAGATATTTAACCTCAGACTTTTGAGATGTCTTCGTTAAACCAATCCATTTAGAAATTTGGCAAGCTATACTGATCGAAATCAGAACTGCTCTCCATGGAGAAACTCTGGGCCAATTTATGATGATTCACATGGAAATAAACTTCCTAAGAAGATAATGACATAGGAGAAGGCAGTTTTCCTTATGTGTTAGGATAGCCCATTCTCTTCCAAGAAGCTATGCTGTCAGAGGCTATGATGGGGAAGGGTAATGAAAATCCATAAGTAATGTAAATTAAGTATTAATTACTTTATACAGAACAGTCCTTTATCTTGGCACTAAGGGGAAAACAGTTTGTGCTGCATATGACAAAGTTGGAGAAAGAAAAACTGAACATGATGATATATGGAAATAAAGTCCAATATGTTTCATTACTTTTATTACTCAAGGCAGAATTCTACCTTGAATTGGTATTACAGAGACTGCTACTATCACTATCTGATCCCTACACTGAGGATCTTTTTTTCTAGCTAAACATGTGGCATAAAAGAAGACAGTGAATAAAAGTTTAAAAAAATCTGGTAAAGATGTGTACTCTGATAAACTGGATTTAAACTAAATGGAAGCCTGAGCCCAAGATTCATGTCATTCCCTTGACAGCATCCTCACAGACATAGGACTTGATTTAACAATTTCCACCAGGAAAGGGGAACACCTCAAAGAAGGGCTTTTTACAGAAAACCTGCTTGAACTCATCCTTTTAGAGATGGAAAAAAAATAGACCCTTATGATGCTATGAGACACTTGCAAGGAAGAAACAGCTGGTCAGAGGTATGATTGAAGACAACAAAAAAACATTTTTGGAAAAAGAGAAGTAAAAGGGGCAACTAGGTAAGACAAACAGATAAATGTTACATCTACAGGAACAGTAACTGGTTGTAAATAAAACTACATCACACCAAGCCACATCAGTAAAATCCAGTTAATGAGAAAGGATGTTTTCACGACACACCAGGTGTAACAGGATATAGAAGTACTGCATCTAGTTTCTTACTCAGATGGTGTTAATAAATTTAAAGGATTCAAGTTAAAAACAAAGGCAATGCAAAGAAACACAAAGCATGTTATTTCCGTAATTTGATACCTTGAGAAAAATGACTGTCAGCTCCTGCTGGAGGGTCTCAAGGCAAACGTCAGAAATGACCAATTTACCCCATCATATAAAAAAAGGAAGACTTTAACATGGCTAGATTATGTGAAGCAAGGATGTATCCCTAAAATATAAATTCCAAATAAATTATGTATTACTTATGATCTCCTTATGGTGTATATATTTGCCACTTGGTGAGATTCCTTCTCTACCAGACCATTTTTTAGGAAAGTTTGTTACAACAAACTGACAGAATAAATTCTGAGTATTATACAGTCTATACGGAATAAATACTGGAAAACAACACAAGCTCACCTTCATCACTCGTTGCCTGCTGCTTCACCAGAGTCATTGGGGATCTTGCTGGAGGCTTACTAAGTGGATGGCGCCAACTTTTAGCAGTTTTGGTTTCTCCTTCTATTCTCTGGTTACAGAACACAAATGGGGGAGAAACAGCCACCGTTAAAGACTTGTTTTAAAACGAAAAACTATGGTTATGATGATTTACAACAAGTTAATTATGAAGAACTCTTATGCTTATTCACCTGCTGAGGAATTAACACTTCGTTAAAGAAATTTAAACCTACAAGTCAAAAGAAATAGGAATCCATTCTATTAATAATTTTACTGACAGGGAAGTCAGTTAACTATTCTTCCACTTCATATTAAAATACTATCTGGAGGGACTTCCCTGGTGGCACAGTGGGTAAGAATCGGCCTGCCAATGCAGGGGACACGGGTTCGAGCCCTGGTCTGGGAAGATCCCACATGCCACAGAGTAACTAAGCCCGTGAGCCACAACTACTGAGCCCACATGCTGCAACTACTGAAGCTCACGTGCCTAGAGCCCGTGCTCCGCAGCAAGAGAAGCCACAGCAGTGAGAAGCCCATGCACCGCAACGAAGAGTAGCCCTCACTCGCCACAACGCAGCAATGAGAGAAAGTCCGTGCGCAGCAATGAAGACCCAACACAGCCAAAAAAATAAATACAAATTAAAAAAAAAAAAAAACAAAAACACTATCTGGGGACTTCTCTCGTTGTGCAGTGGGTAAGACTCTGCACTCCCAATGCAGGGGGCCCAGGTTCAATCCCTGGTTGGGGAACTGGATCCCGCATGCTGCAACTAAGGAGTCCTCACGCCACAATGAAGATCCCGCATGCTGCAACTAAGACAGGTACAGCCGAAATAGATACCTAAATATTTAAAAACAAAAACAAAAACAAAAACACTATCTGTAGTGCAGGCTACGCTTCTCAAACCTACAATAAACTCAGCAGTTAGCTAGTTTTCAAAAGTTCTTTAAAACTAATTTAAATTTAGGATTATATGCTCATAACAAAATAGGACCATGGCATTTGGTCACGTGTGACTATGTGGCAGGTTATTTTGCTTTCTATCCTCACACAGGAGGAAATACTGCCAAGGTGAGCCTGTACTCTTACTTCCATTCAAAAATGAATCGCCACTTCTCTGAGGATCAAACAGGAAATCAAAAGTTGTTGCTGTTGTTTAATATGGCACATTACTGTCATCTTGAAACCACTTAAATTTTACGTAAAATCTTCTGTCCTGAGCTGCCCAGACTACATTTTCCTTTCAAAGGTAAAGGAAAAAGTCATGTGCATCCTGACACCTTCCAGGCAGAAACTACTTACAAGCTTTCTTGCCCATGCAGCAAACCCCCAAAAAAGGCAGGGGTGTGGTTAGAGAAAGAGTTCGAAACTAGTGGGTTTGCATCAACATTTGACTGCAAAAGAAAGGAGTCTCAGGAATTTCCCAGTAAGCTGAAGAAGCAGGCCCCAGAAGGAGAGAAACTATGCTGACATCTGACACCAAAACAGAATTATGAGAAAATGTGTGAGAACATTCTAATCAAAGCTGGGATCACAAAGTATAATACAGGGTGAGATTTACCTGTAGTTTATAACAGCTAAAAATTAATGTGAGGAATTATAACTTAGTCAACAAAACAAATATTTACTAAACGCTTACTACATGCCACACTGTTCTAAGAGTGAGCTACAGAAGGTCCCTGCTTCCAAAGAGTGCAATATAGATTGGGGGTGAGGGTGGGGGGAGCACAGACAAAAAACAAGTAGAAAATAAATATTTATGAAGTACTATTAAGCAAATATGCAATAAAAACAATAAAGCAAGACAAAGAATGGAAAGAGATGGGGAGAAGGCTATTTTATATGGGGTCATCAGAGAAGCCCTTTCTGACAAGAAGACATTTGAGTGGAGCCTTGAGTGCAATGAGGGAGCGGTACACTTAGCACTCTAGGGGAGGAGTATTTTGGACAGCAGGAA